TCTCTCTTAAGGGTTGATGCTACATTGACGTAGAGCCAAGGGAAAAGCTTTGCAGTAGAAATTGCTCGTTGACTGCAACTGCAAGTTTGGAAAAGCAGAAAGAATTAGATAACATTAATTCAAGAAACACAGCAAAGCCAAGGCACTGGATTGGTGTATAAACAGCTTTAACTGTATATACATTTCAGTGGCTCTGAAAACAAATGGAAGATTACTGGGATAAGATTAACTGTAACAAATGCAAGGAAATGTATGAAGCAGTTGGAAAAGCTTTTTATAGTAGAGCAGTTAAATCTAGTGAATTGTGTTTGTTTTTTGTTTTCAGAATTACTTCCATTGTTCTACTGAACTCCCGCTGAATGTCCGACATAGTCGAGCTGTTATGCCGCAATTAAAAAAATAAATTAATAGAAACTGAATACCAATGTGATTAGTCTTGTGTTACATGCTTTTATATACGTGCTGCTCATACTGGTTGAGAGCTGCTTCACACTTAGCTGAGGAGATAATCCTTGATTTAAAACGAAGCAACCACTCTGACAAAGTAGTGTAGTTAATGGAAGCACTTGACCATATGTGAAGGTAACAAAAGTCATTCTGTTCACTGTTACCATGTAGAAAGAAGGTAACGAGAACCCTAATTTATTTTAATTCCCACTGTGACCTGTCACACAGACATTGTCCAAGCTAGTAGCCTTTTATAGTACCGTTAGCAGTAATCAAGGATGAGGTGGCCTAAGGTTGCTGTATTAATGTCTGTTGATCTGTACATGTGCAGTTTTATAAATCTTGAACTGGGTGCATTGTAGAAGCGTAGAGCATCTGACTTACTGACAGCAAGACATACGTGCTAACGTACATACAGCTAACTTTTGTGGCTATAACTTATTTAATCAGATTTCTGAAATAGAATTATATGATGCTCTTGGAGCACATCCAGTACAGCAGAAACTGGAGACCAAGGTAGAAGAATATCCTGAAATGCTTGCACCTTCTCTGTATCTGTGGCACAGGCAGAAAGTCTGGATTGTGTCTGGAGGAATGAAGCTGAGACCATGTTTCAAGCTGCAAACTCCTTACCAGAATTTCTCACAACCATTCTCTTGCACTCCAGAGCTGATTTTCATCTCCCTTGCTTTGAAATCCAATAAAGGTGGCTAAAGTTGCGCATGTTCAATGTGGCTCACTTAGAGCTATCTGAAAATACTAAAATTGGACAACACATTAAGAGGAACCACTGGCTATTTTTGATCAGAACATCACACCTAGATCCTGTGCTTAAATTGGCCAGTTACTTCCTCATCCTTTCTTTTTTAGTTACAACGTATCTCAAGTGATGTATTTCTGAGTACAAGTGTATAGTTAGCACAAATGTTAAGAAATGAAAGCTATCAGGAGGAACACTGCATGGATTTGTGTAAATGAAGTGAACCATCTTACAGTATTTGTTATTACTGAAAAGATGAATATAGCTAGCAATGTCATATCCAAAATACCTTAATTTTTAGCCTGATTGTGGTTTAACCCCAGCTGGCAACTAGGCACCACATAGCCGCTTGCTCATTCTTTCTCCTTGCCAATGGGATGGGAAGGAGAATTGAAAAAACCCTCATGGAATGAGATGAGAACAGTTTAATAATAGAAAGAATTGAAATAATAATAATAATGATGAAGATGATGATGATGATGAAAAGGAAGAAAACAAAAAGAGTGATAAATAAAACTCAACAAAAGACCCCAACTGACTCGCAATGCAATTGCTCACCACCTGTTGACCAATGCACAACCAGTCCCTGAGCAGTGATCGGCCTCTCCTGGCCAGCTGCCCCTGGTTTATATACTGAGCATGACATCCTGTGGTGTGGAATATCCCTTTGCTAGTTTGGGTCAGCTGTCCTGGCCATGCTCCCTCCCAGCTTCTTGTGCATCTGCTCGCTTGCAGAAACTAAAAAATCCTTGGCTGAAGATAACACTACTTAGCAACAACTAAAGCATCAGTGTGTTATCAATATTATTCTCATACTAAATCCAAAAACCAGCACTGTGCCAGCTAATAGTAAGAAAATTAACTCTGTCCCAGCCAAAACCAGGACAAGACTGTACCATGAAACTGCTTTCTAAGACCTTTTAGGCATGTGGCAATCTGATTCAGTAGGACTAAGGCTTGAGGAGCAGTGGATGCTGTAGAAGTCTGAAAGACAGTGGCAAGTTCATATGGCAGAAATATCACAGTGCTACCCTGTTCTGTGCTCAGCCCTTGCTCCAGCCGGTGTGTCAGTCACTTTCCTTGCATGATTATATCAATCTGGTACCTGTTGAATTGAAAGGAAATAAAAGTCAAAGAACTGCAGTATCTTCTTTAAGTTTATTTTATGGTGGTATGTTAGGTAAAAATCTTTCTGAGTAAAATCAGTAATAGATACATGATTGAGTCCAAAGCTTTTACTTTGAGCTAAGCATCTTGATTACCATTCATGGACCTTTTATACAATTGCTTCTGTAGGGTTTGTACATGATGCATTGTCTAGTTTGGGAAAAAATACTCAGCAGGTATGGAGATTTTATACACTGAAAATGAATATTTAAGACTCAAGGGAAGCTATTCACGACTTTGGGGAGGTGGGTAGATAGTAGAAATTTCCTTTAAAATAGTTTATGTCTCTTTTCTCTTTTAAAGCATCATTAAAAAAATACCTCAACATTTCCTAGGGTGATCCATCACAAACTGACTCATCTGCCTAGGGTTTTCTGTTGTCTTCCTAGTTAGATAAAAGATGTGCATGAATGTGCAGAATGATTTGGCTGTTTTGTCTGACTGATGAAACCTTGTAGAAAACTGCATTTGCCACATTCCTAACTTGCCTTAGTAGCTGAATTGGGAGTTCATTGACGCTCCTTATACTTTCTTAATTTGTTAGGGTACTTTAAATTCATCAGTCAGAAAAGCTGGATTTCATCCTCCATGTTGACCTGCTCAGAAACATATCTTGCCTGAATATTTAAAATAATATATAGGAAAAATTGAATTATTTCTTAAATATGCAGCCCCAGGATTAATTGATCCACTACCAGCACTATAATCCCAAGCTTCAAAACTTGGGTGTCATTATCCCAAAAACTTGTATCAGTGTGCTTGTATCAGCACGATTTCAAAATGTGTAGTGTTGGTACCTGTGGGTTTTACAGGTATTATTGATAGGAGCAGTGTGTATCCAGTGCATGTTGCATTACAAGATGTGGCTGTTTAAGAATGACCCTACTTGTGAGTGTATTTTTTCAAAGATTTATTTTTCCATGCACAGATTGATGTTAGTGGTGCATGCCATACTGTTAAAGGGAAAAAAAAAATCCTTCTTAAATAAGTGATTCTGTGCATTTTACAATATACACACATCCAGCGAATGTAGAACACAGAAGCCAGGAGAATTATCTGTGTTTTTCAAGTAGGCGTGTAAAGGATAAGGATTCTCTTCAGAATGGTTGTACAAGCTATGTGATGTAAGAAAAAGAAATGAAATGTAATCATTATCCGAATACGGTGAATAAAGATAAGAGTTCTGCACAATATATCTACCAAATGTGTGTCTCTGTCTAACACAGTGACTCTAATACCGCAGTTGTTAATATTTAGTCTGTCCACACATTTTGTGCAAAATCTCTGTGGTGAGGCATTCATTGTGTTGGAAAGCTGACACAATGGAATGCTTTTTGTGCTGGCTCTGGAAAAATTATAGTCCATTTTATCAGTTCCAAGGTCACGAGTACTATCATGGCTCTTAAACTGTAGTGGAGTAAAGTGGGTGCTATTGAATGTTCGAGGTACAGCTGTAAGTTTGTCTGATTACTGCAGCCAAGTATCTCCAGCAGCAGAGTTCTTTGTCTGAACCCATTTCTCTTGTCTATAATTTTAATTTTTGCTGTCAATTGATTTCAGAATTGACTTGCACTGCAATATACATGGACTTGTAGAGTCACATTTTCAAGACACCCAATAGACGCTATTAATATGTCAGTGTAGAAATACTTTAATTGCCGATTTCAGTTCTAGTGCTAGTCTAAGCACAAGCCAAAGGGCACTGTTATTAAACACTTTTTACTGCTGGAGTTTGTGTTTCTTTCCCTGTCATTTTTGTGGACCAGTTCTTTTTTTAAAATTAGAAAACATAAGCCTTTTCACACAAAACCTGAACTAGATTTGCATGGACTCATGCATGCCTGCACTGGTGTGGGAATATTCATTTTCCTGTGAATAAAAATGATCAGATTATTTTACCAACTTGCCCGCTGTGAAATGCAGAACAATTACTTTAAACAAATTAAGATCAGAATTTTTTTTTTTCTCATAAAAACAGTGGTACTCCACAGAATCTCCACTTCTCAAAGCATTCAGTCTAAAGCTCCTGATAGATCCTTTCGTGACTGAGGAATCTTCCTTGCCCATTTTGCTCTTTCTTTTCTCCTCTTTTATGTAGCAGTTCATCAGCATTGCTTTTTGATTAGCAAAGTGCATCATTTTAATAACATCCCTCTGCCCCCAAACTTTACCTTTCATTTTTCAGTTCACTTTCTTGAGTGCATGACCACCTGCAGCCAGCTCATTGATTCACTGGTGTGATTTTTGCTCTTTAGGAGCAGGTGAAGAAATACGGGTGACTTCCTCTTATCTGCCCACGGGCACCACCACACATAGGCATCAAAGAACCCAGAGTTTCTGTAGAGTAAAAGGATGGTAAAAAAACAAATAAAGGTGATGTCTTTTTGTAAGATTGGCTCTGTGTGTGTCTAGGTGATATGATGTGTTTTATTGACTTAGTGCCTTAGTCTGTCTTCTAAACCTTGCTTTATTATTAAGTATTCATGGATAATGTTGAAATGGGTACTGCTTTGCAATTGTGGTAACTATTTTTAGCCTTGTTCTTTTAACTCTTCAGGATCACAGGCATAGTGTACCTTTCTGTAGAGAGATAAGCTGTTAAAACATTTTTTCCTTTCCTTTTCAGGGAGTAATATGTGGGAGGCTGTGGACTCTTTGCTTCCAACATAGGAACAGCACTGGTTTGGGAACCTGTACTCCTGAGAGAATGCTGGGAATCTGCAGAGGGCGACGGAAATTCCTGGCTGCCTCTCTGACCGTCCTTTTTGTTCCAGCTGTTATGTGGATTTATCTGTTTGCTGGGAGTTTTGAAGGTAGGAGGGGAATAAATAGCTGGGAGAGGTAATGTTGAATTATTTGTATGAGAGCAGACAAATACAGATCAGACATAATTGATTTTATTTAAGTAAATCTAGTTTGACTTGCATAGGAAATAGTTCCCAAGGTGCATATTTCAACAAAGGGCCTTCTTTGCTATGTTCTTATCGCTGAGGAGGAGGTAGTTGCTGATCCTGGTTATTTGCTTTTCCTCTTATCTTTGAACTTTTTAAAAGTGCAACAAAAAAACCCCCACCTTACTCATTTCTTCTGTGTGTTTTATAATGTTTAAAAGTTGATCTATCCTATGCCCTGTAATATTTTACTTGTAATTAAAATTAATGTCTTATTTCACATCTGCCCCTAAAATTGTAAAGGTTTAAAAAGGCGTCCGTATGTGTTCTAGGCACTGTTACACAACTCTTGTTTTTATGGACCTGTGTGACAGACATGGCGTGGGTCTTTGCATAGTGGGCTTTGCTAGGTCATGGTCACTCAACTGCAGGCTTTCTCTTTTCCTGTGGTCCAGCGTGCCTTGTCCACTGTGGTACCTAATTTGTGGAATGTCGGACAGTGGTGGGACTCTGCTCTCCCTCTGTTGGACACAGGTGTATGTAGCAGCAAAGAACTCTGTGAAATGTTTTATGGGCTCCTGATTTGGTTAAATAAGTGCCTACATGGCCCAAACCTGAGAACACATGAGGCTCTTTTCTTGCCTTTGTGTGAAGATTATTAGTTCTGGCCACTCCCTGTATGCTTATTGTTCTAGAAGGCTGAACACAGAAAAACAATGAAAACCTATATAAAATCTCTTTATATAAAATCAGTTTGAATCCACATCCCTCTGGGCAGTGGTGGGTTACTATGGTTGGTATATCTTTCTGTCCTTTCTTCAGGTGGGGGTCCTCAAGTTTATAGGTACATTGACTTGCAGCTATATAACTAGCACTTTTTATAATCAGACTTGGGAAAACCACTACTTTGCCTTTTAAATGGTCTATCTGATGAACCTTTTTTCTGTCCTTAAAGGAGTTCAGCAGTAATACTTAAGTTAGATGCTGGATCTCCTGTTTTTTTTTTTTTATTTTTAGCTTTTTTTTTTTGGGGGGGGAGATGGAGCGTTTTATTGTTGGCATTAGGTGTGTTATTTTGACGAGAGTAAAAAAAGCTGTTCAGCCTTTGTAGTTATCCTTGCAAGAGGAAAGGTGTTTCAGCCTTTTAAAAACTGTTCAAACACTAACTTTATAACTTGATAACTTTTAAAAGGCTTTGTTTAAAATGTCAAGCTTCTTTCATGTAACCTTGGCTGATGAATTTGTGCTTTGTTTCAAAACAAAATTGGATTCCAAGTTAAATTACAAGTAAGAACATGTAAAGATTTTCTGTGTGTATTAGTACATTTCTGAATTGGTTATATGCCAGGTACAAATATTTGCTTATGCAAATTTATTTGGTTACTTAAAATTCTGCCTTAATGGGCAGTAACTCTGTGAGCTTATTCTAGAATGAGACACTTATAGGATGCCTGTTAAATTGGAAATATGAGAGGTGCTGGCTGCATACTTGAAAACTAATGATCTGGCAGGCAGAATAGTACAGATTTTGTTTGATTTTTAAAACCTGAGCAAATGCAGGCCTTACCTCTTTGCCTTTAGAATAATATTATGCTCCCTTATAATGACTATTTTAATTGTGTCCACAATTGATAATGGCATGCTGTTTTAAATTCTTGTGTGTGTAGAATCCTTTGTTTTTACAGAGAGCTCAATACAAATCTTGAAATTTGCTGCTACATAGTATTTGAAGTGACTTAAAGCTCTCAGTGTGAATTAATCTTAAATGCAAACCAGGGAGCAAAGCCCATTACCTATTAAGAAGCCTTGAACTGGAAAAGGCCTGGAAATGAAATGCAGTTAGTAACTCTGTTACTTTTCCGTATCTGTTTTCTTTTTCTTTTAATTTTTGGATGTGACATGATTTAATCTTTGTGAGTTAAAATCTAAAGTCAGTTAAAATATTTATTTAACTGAATAATACCTAGCATTTTCCTTAACTAGTGGGTATTATAGGCAGAGAGTTAACTCCGTTTTGTCATTTTATCTGACTTCTTGTTTTGTACTCCACTATGGTTCACCCAATTTACTTATTCCTTAAGCTCTCTATGTGTACCTGTGTAAAAAATGCCCTACAACAGCATTGTGCTTTGATTTAAAACCAGCAGGAGTGGAGAGTCCTGTCTGTCTTCTGGTACCAGTTTCTTTGGTTAACCACAGGCACTGCAAGGTTTCTTTTCAGTTCATCTGGTTTTAGATTGAAGTAAACAGTTCTTGTTACAATTTTCTCCACTAAATTAAATAAATTGTCAGTACTTGATATCTTCATAGACTCAATTATTCAGGGTGGAAGGGACCTCAGGAGTTCTCTGGTTAAACTCATGCTCATATCAGGGTGGACTTTGGGATCAGGCAAGATTTCCTCGTGTCTTGAGGACCTCCAGGGACAGAGTCTACATGGCCTCCCTGGGCAACTTGTGCCACTGCTTGACTGTCTTCAGGTGGAAGAGTTTCTCCTTATATCTACTTTGAAGCTCCCTTGCTTCGGTTTATGTTTAATGTCACTCATCCCCTCTTCATGTATTGCTGTGAAGAGCCTGGCTCCATCTTCTTGAAACCTGCTTGTAGGTACTGAGGGGCTGCTGATTAAGTCCCACAGAACCTTCTCTTCTCCAGGCTAAACAAGCCCAGGGCAAGTACTTCAGCCCCTGTACAACTTGATGGCCCTACGCTGAACTTCATCAATGTCGTTCTTTTATTTGGGACCCCAAACTGTACACAGTGTTCCAGATGTGGTCTAATGGGTACCAAGTAAAGGGGAATGGTCACTTTCCCCAGTCTATTTGCTGTGTTCCTACAGAGACCAGGATGCCATTGGCCTTCATCACTGTCGAGGCATGCTGCTGGCTTGCATTTGATGTTCTGTCCACCAGGACTACAGGTCCTTCCCAGCAGGACAAGTCCAAAGCCTGCGCCATTATGAGAGGGTTAGTCCTTCCCAGCTACAGAGCTTTGCTTTGTTCATTCCTGCAGCCTGTCTAGGTCCTCCTCAGTGGCACCCTTGCCTGTGAGTGTATTGACTGCAACCCCCAGGCTTGGTGTCATTTGCAGTCTTGATACAGGTGAACTCTGTTTTCTCCTTTGAGTCACTGATAAAAATATTGAAAAGCACTGGTCACAGAATAGACACTGAGGAACTCCACATGTAACTCACTTCCAGACAGAGCATGAACAAGTAACCATCATGCTTTGAGCCCAACATTCCAGCTAATTTTTCACCTATTTAGTAGTCCACCCATATAGACTGTAAAATTCCAACTTGAATACAAAGATGCTGTTGGAGACCACATTGAAAGCTGTGCTAAATTCAAGGCAGATCTCTGTTCATCTCTTATTCACAGATCTAGTCATTTCATCACAGAAGGCAATCAGGTGGGTCAAGCACGGTTTACTTTTGGTGAATCTGTGCTAGTTATTACCCTGTCAGGCCTGTGTATGTTTCCCTTTGAAGGTACTTACATGTAGTAGTCAGATCACTTCTCAGTCTTTTTTTCACTAAACTAAAAATGTTGAGCTATCTGAGTTGTTATAGCAAAAAATGTTGTGCTCTCTTTTTTTTCATATTCTTTTGCAGTTTTTTGTTTGTTTATTTGTATGTTTGGGGGCTCCAGAATCAAATCTTTACAGAATACTGTACTCTTCAGTACTGATATCTGCAGTGCTGTGTCCTAAAATTACATGTTCTTGATGTAATCAGGAATTACATTACTCATCCATGTGTTTATATCTGAGAACTTGAGTTATTCATTTGCTATAGCATGACAGTGGGATCACATTTAGAAACCCTTTATAAGCTCTTCGTTAGTGAATCTGTAATATAAAATATGCCCTAATGTAATCAGTTCCCATGTTCTGCTTTTAAAATAGGACAGAATTTTGTTTAATTTGGGGTTTTGTTTCTCTTGTCAGAAAGTACATTGCAAGCCTGATACTTTACAGCTGTCACTCAGGCACTGCCAGTAAGACCCTTCCCTTGGAATATTCATTGGAGGTGGCATTACCCAAGCTGTGACAGCAACAGCTACTAAAAGCCTCATTAATCATGTATAAATGTCTATTAAGGTTATGAACTAGAACATTAAAGGAGATTTTTAATATTGTATAGCCTTTGAACATACCTGGTTACTGTTGTTGTTTTTAATAATGCATGAGGACAGCATAATTTCAGTTTTCAGTTACTTTGAATGAAAAAGCTAATTGTTCCAGCATTCTTAAATTACATTCAAAAGACAAGGTAATAGAGTAGGAAGGGTGGAGTGCATTTAAAACAGGGAAGAAGAAATAATCAAATAATATATGATGCATTTTCATTAGAAAGAAAATAGCAATTTGACTAACCAACAGTAGCTTCAGAAATAGCATCATTTTACGAGCTATATGCAGCAGTTTCCTATCCCCGTTACCATGAAGGTCATGTAAAGTGGAGGCTTGGAACTGTAATTTGACACATGCTCTCTAGATTACTGATTCCTCAAAAAAGTGTCCACTGTGGCTTTCTGGCCTCAGCAGATTCACAGTCACCTCTACTTTGACAGGATGAAAATATACTTGAGTTACGAGTTTCTGTGCGGTGGATCCACTTGAGGTTGAAAGCCCTGAAGTGTCTGTGTAGGGCTCCTGTGTAGAACATATTTCACAGGAAGAGGAGAGTCAGTAGTGTAACCTTAAGATGAAAACTTGAGGAGTTGTGTGAGATCATGTCAACAGAAGTTGACTCTGTTTTTTCTTAACTTACAGGGTAACATTTTAAAAACAGAGCCTGCCTTCTTTCCTGGGACTTGCTTTCCTCAACTGTCCTCTTTTCACTCCAATGTTGGGCAACTGTCATTCCCTCACAGTATGTTTTAGTCCAAGTAACCTGTGAAAACATGCTTGAAGCCAGA